AAAGAGAGGTGGACTAAAAGTGAGAGGGGACTAAGACAGATGTTTTTTTTGCATCTTTAACAGGCACGGCCACATAGCTAGTTAGCAGTGGTGTGGCATATTTTAGACCTTTAGTGGAGCAAAATATTGTAGGTTAAAGATCTATATGGTAACTTTTTAATTTCGAGGACCCAAATGAAAATTACTAGTAGATTGAGGACTTAGATGGTCACTTTTTTAATTCAAGGAGAATACATGAAAATTTTAAAGACCCAGGGTGTTTTTTTTTAATTTCCACTCAACCCACCATTTGGTTCTGCTAGTAGTACTCCGTAGAAAGCAAGTTTTTTTCTTTGAGAAATTAAACAAAGGTATCAAAATCGAGAGGGTGTTAAGACAAAAGGCTGAATTGGAGGAGATCCGTACCCAGGGTTGGTATATCATGAGAGCAGAGATGTGGCGGCCGCTGCTTGAGAAATGGTGCTCGTGAATAATTAATACACAATATCTCACTGTAAATTCTCCTTTTTCTCACACCTGATCTCTTTATTTATTTCGTTGAAGAGCTAGAGAACAATTGGTGTGCTCATTTTGAAAAGGCTCCCTTTTTATTTTGAGAGGAAAAGTCTCCCATGTTGGATGTATGTACATCCGCGCGTATCCTGTGATCATTCCGCACTCCTAATTTGTCAGCAAGGTAGAGGATGTTTCTTCTACGTACGATTAAAAATTGAAGAGACAAGTGATTGGTGTTCTGTACTGCTGAATGAAGCTAGAATGGGGGTTGGTGGAAGAGAGCTTGCCGGTGAAATTAAAATTAAAATGGAAGGAAAGCCTGGCCACATTGCTGGCCGGGGTTGGAGACAACACTGAGATCAAGGACACGGTTTGAGCAGCCACGGTGAACAGATCAGACCGATCCACAACAAGCACTCATGGAGTCATGGGCCATGGCCGCATGCTGTATGCACATGCTGCCTCAAGACTCAAGTCAAGGTCGTCGTCGTCGCCATCTTCGGTGGCTTGCTTGGGACGACGGCCACGACCGTCCTTACTGTGCGAATTTAATGATTGTACAATAAATGTCAGATGCACGGCGGCCAACAACCTTACTACACACAATAACTTGTCATGTATCCGTGCCCTCTGAGCATGTGGTGTTTGATGACCTATACTAAAGTTTAGTCCATGCTTTAGATGCGAAGGTTTAACAAAAACTAGTCATGACCTAACAAAAACTAATAAAGAATAATTGATGAGTATAACCTATTAAAAAATATATAGTCACTACGGGAATTCTCAAATTTGTCGAGTGTTTTTATTTTGCCGAGTGTATTCTCTCGGGCACTCGACGAACAAGTTCTTTGCTGAGTGCTGCGCTAAAAACACTCGGCAAAGAGGGGTTTTGTTGAGTGTCAAAAAAACACTCGGCAAAGAAATAAAATCTTTTTTCTAGAAAAGAAGGAGAATAAAAAAATAAAAAAAAACTTTGTTGAGTGCTCAGATTTAGAACACTCGGCAAAAAAATTTTGCTATAACTCCCCGGCCGTCATCCTTTCCCGCACCGCCCCACATCCCTTTCTCAAAATCCGCGTGCCCGGCCCCTCGTCCTTTCCCGCACCGCCCCGCCTCCCTCTCCGGCCGCCGCCCCGGCCCCTCCTCTCCCTCTCTCCGGCCATCGCCCCGCCCCTCCTCTCCCTTTCTCCGGCCGCCGCCCCGCCCCTCCTCCCCGGATCCGGCGGGGACCCCGCCCCTCCTCCCTAGATCCGATGGGGACTCGCGGGTGAGGCCTCGCGTCGAGGGGCCCGCGAGAAGCGGCGGACTCCGTCGTGGTGGGCCCAATGGCCGGCCGCGAGGTGGTCGTGCTCGAGGCGGGCCCCAGCTTCGGCACCGGCAGCTCGGGCGTGGTGGCGTGGCGGGCTTGGTGGCGGCTGGAGGCAGCACGGGTGTGGTGGCGGCGGGAGGCAGCTCGGTGGTTGCGTGGCGGCGGGAGGCAGCTCGGTGGTGGGCGGCGGCCGGTGGTGCTTGTTTTTTTTTATTTTTTTCAAAAAATGTTTGCCCAGTGTTTTTTGGGCACTCGGCAACCCGACAAAAAGCACCCGGGAAAGAACGTTTGCCGTTAAAATCTTTGTCGGTGTCGGTTGCCGAGTGCAATACTCGGCAAAAAGGTTGCCGAGTGTTTTTAGGACTTTGCTGAGTTCCCCAAGGACTCGGCAAAGCTCCCGTATCCCGTAGTGAGTCTATGTTTAACTAACCTAGTATCAAAAACAGATTAAACTTCAGTCCCGTTATCCAAACAAACGTACTCCACCATCTGGCATCTGGGGGACAAGGCAGACTGGACCAGAACCATGGCCTAACTGGGCGGCACGGCAATAATTGAGCCCGCCCTACGTTGGTCCTTTTAAGTAATAAATCGTATAATTATATTGGAGTATGGATTCGTGATCATTGTACCGGAATTGGCGAGTAGCACTGTAGCTGGCTTTCAATCAACCGACAACTGCCACCTAACGTGACCAGTACCAGGCTTCTAACGGCATGTTCTCCTAAAATTCCTGTCACATCGAATGTTTGGACACATGCATGGAGACGAATCTTTTAAGCCTAATTAGTCCATGATTTGACAACGTAGTGCTACAGTACATGTGCTAATAATGGATTAATTAGGTTTAAAAAAATTGTCCGGCAAATTAGTCTCCATCTATGTAATTGATTTTGTAAGTAATCTATATTTAATGCTCCTTATTAGTATATAAACATTCGATGTGACATAAATTTTGGGAGCGACTAAGAACCAAACACCCCCTAATTCATGCACGAAATCACCGGATCTGCACGTACGGAAACAATGGCCATATCTGGCCATAGATGGAGGGCTTGAGTCCCTCAATCCACAAAAAATATCATTCTCAGATCACTTTTTACAAGTCAAATAATTTAAAGTTTAATCAAAGTTATTTAAAAAACATTAACGATTATCATACAAAATAAGTGATATTAAATTAACTATGAAATATATTTTTTAATAAATCTAGTTGGAGACAAGAAATTAATAATGAACCATATTTCTCAGTAAATGTTAATACTATTCTTTATGAGGTTTGTTTGGTTATCCTTCTATTCCTGGCCTGATTTAGTTTTCTATACCAGGGTAGCTAAATCCTAGCTAGGGCTATGTAAGATGCACTTATTTGGTTCCATGGGCGGTCTAGAGCGATATCAGATTTGTTGTGTTTAGTTGCCTGGATTGACCTGCATAGAGACACCTCATCTTTGTCACAGTAAGTTTGCCCCTATTGCACATTCTATCGAACACATGTGGGCATCATCTTTAGCAGCGTTGAGCTTGCGTCAATGTTCAACGGAGGCAGTGGAGCGGGCCTGTGGGGGTGGAGCCACGCCCCGGTGGAGGAGCGAGCGTAGTGGGGTTGTAGTCATGGCCATGGTTTCTAATATCAGCCGAAATTTTCTGATATTTCCGATATATCCTCTTTATCCGTAGGTGCCGATAAGAAAATATATATCTTTTTAGTACAAATTTTGTTTAAATTTATTTAAATTTACTTAAATTCAAATTACATTTTATTTGAATTTGATCCGATATTTCTGATATATCATGTTTATCCTCTTTATCTATGACCCCTGATAAATTCTAATTTCCGAAAATGAAAACCTTGGTCATGGCCCGCCGCCGCAGAAGCGTGCCGCTAAGGTTCCCCCTCCCGGTTGTGTCATCGTCTTGCACGGCCACGGATGGTGGTCGGCGTTTCTCGAGCGGGAGTGGCAGCGCGCGGATCACCGCGAAGCTCACATGGGGGCCCAGCGGATCCCACACTGTGGCCAGCTGCGCTTGCGTGGGCGTGGCGGAGCTCATGCGGTGGCCTATGGAGGAAGGCACAAGCTGGTTGGACGGAGATGCTTGCACTGGGGCGGCGGAGCTCGCTGATGAGGGCTCGGCGGCGGTCGTGGTGAGTGGATGAGCATGCGAGTGTTAGCCAAGCCTGACTTTGTGGAAACGATCTGGGGATCCGTTTCAAGCTAGCCACCCTTAATTCTGTCTCCTTTTTTTACTTCGTCGAGCCTAGCTTAATTAAGATAGGCAACCAAACATGGAGAGGCAGGGGGTGTTTGATTCTTTAGTCGCTCCTAAAATTTATGTCACATCGAATGTTTAGATACTAATAAAGAGCATTAAATATAGATTAATTACAAAACCAATTACATAGATGGAGGCTAATTTGCGAGATGGTTTTTTTAAGCCTAATTAATCTGTCATTAGCATATGTTTATGGTAGAATCACATTGTTAAATCATGGATTAATTAGGCTTAAAAGATTCGTCTCGCAAATTAGTCACAAGTTGTGTAATTAGTTTTGTAATTAGTCTATATTTAATACTCCATACATGTGTCTAAACATTCGATGTGACGAAAATTTTAGGGGTCCTGTAGAAACAAACAGGGCCGCAGTCTACTATCACTATCGTTGGCTACAATTGGCAGTAATTGGCAATGTTCTTTCACGGTTGCTTGTAGCCTTGAACCAGCAGTAAAAGTTCATCTACCACTGCCGGTTGTACTATCACGCCATCTATTGAAGCCACGAAACAACAATTATACATTATTACCGTCGGTTCCAAAGCAACTAGGATTGATTGTGTGACAGTGATTGCCGGTTCTGTGATAATGAATTGTCTTTGAGTCATTTATCTACAAATTTTGGGACTATTTTTGAATTATATATCTATCTTAAAGGTAGAGCTGGGTTATTTAGATGAAAAACTAGATGTTACTTATATGTTTTTAAATGATAGAGTTGATTATTTTTTTTTATAAATGAATAGATTCTATTGTTATTATTGAATAGTATGTCGGTTTCACAGCTTTCCCCTTCCCCCTCGAAGTTGTGTATAAATTGCCACGTGCACGGCCTCACCCTCACCTCTGCACAACTGCTTTTGCCTCATTAGCAACAAAACACATCGAGTAGGGGGGAGGAACCTGAACCCCGGGAGTAGCAATGGCGGACCTTGTGCTTGGGTTGGCCAAGTCGACGGTGGAGGGGACGCTGTCCGTTGCCAAGTCAGCTATTGAGGAGGAGGAGAAGCTGAAGAAGAGTATGCAGCGCGACCTGATGCTGATCTCGGACGAGTTCGAGATGATGCACTCTTTCCTCAACGTTGCCAAGGAACGTGCCACCGACGAAATGGTGAGGACCTTGGTAAGACAGGTTCGCAACACGGCCTTGGATGTGGAGGACTGCATCGAGTCGGTTGTCCTCGTGGATGTTCACGAGTCCCGCTGGTGGCACCGCTTCGCCCGCTTGCTCCTACCCTGCAGCCTATTCCTAGCAGATGCGCCGGCTGCCGCCCTGGACGAGGCGGTCGCCGCTGCAGAGTTGCTCAAGTGCAGGGTGGAAGCCATGGGGCAGAGGAACGAGCGCTACTGGCACATCCGCGACACCGGCCCCAAGCCCACTGAAAATCTGCATCAGCAGGGCGTAGCCGATGCAGCTGCAGCAGGCATCCTTAAAGAGGCGAGGGACGCCAAGAAGAAGGTCGGAAACCCAAGGGATCTGGCGAAGCTGATCAAGAAGGAAGACGGCCAAATCCTTCCTCTTCAAATGATGTCATTGTGGGGAGCAGTAGGTGATCTTGGGGTGGCGTCCATCATCAAGAAGACATTGGAAGACCCAGAAATTAGCACAACTTTCAGGTGCCGTGCCTGGGTGAAGCTGATGCATCCCTTCAATCCCCAAGAGTTCGTGCGGAGCATGATCGCTCAATTCTACACAAACGGTTCCTCGCAACGAGGAAGCACCGAAGAATTGCTGAAACAGACAGAAAGCACCGCAGAATTGCTGAAACAGACAGATGCGGTGATGGCTATGGAAAGCACCCAGCTCATCGAGGAGTTCCTCAAGCACGTGAGCGATCACAAATACCTAATCTTCCTGGAAGATATGTCCAGCACCGTTGACTGGGAGGCTGTCAGGTTATACCTTCCTGACAAGAAGAATGGTAGCTGCATCGTCGTGCACACCCAGCAACTCGAGGTTGCAAGTTTGATCGTCGGACAATCACACCAAGTATTGGAGCTGGAGCAGTTCTCAACTGAGCATTCTGTTTGTGTCTTTTACAATGAGGTAAATATTTATTTACTGTCCTTCTTCCTTGTCTGTCTTTTCTTGTGCCATTTCAACATCAACATGATCTACAGGACTACAGTACACATATATTTGACAATCTTATATATTTCTTACTGCTGAGAAGAAGCGTAACAGCGCAACAGACCTCATCAAGCTGATCAACACGAAAGACGAGGTCTATACTCCACTTCAAGTGATCGCAGTGTGCGGAAAAGTTGGCAATCTTAAGGAGGCAACGGCATCCATCATCGACAGGACCTGTGATGATAGCAACCCAGAAATCTGCACAAATCATTTCAGGTACCGTGCTTGGGTGAAGCTAACGAGGGCGGATGATCATAAGAGCTTTGATTCCGTCAAGTTCATCGATAGCCTACTGGATCAATTGTGCACAAACTACTGTCCACGACATGGAAGTGCCGAAGATTTCCTGAAACTGAAAGGTTTGAAAATGCTTACTGAAGCTGAAGTTAAACTCAATGAAGAGTTCGTGAAGCAAGTGATGAGAGACCAGAGATACCTAGTCTTTCTTGAGGATGTGTCCAGTAAGGATGACTGGGACGCCGTCAGGAAATACCTACCAGAAAAGACCGATGGTAGCCGCATTGTCGTGCACACCGAAGACCCCAAAGTTGGAAGCTCGTGCGTTGAACAACCACACGGAGAGCTGGAGCTGCTGTTCTCAGCTGATCATTCTGCTCGTGTCTTTTTCAATGAGGTAATAATATACGCCCGAAGCGTCATCAATAAATTTCAAGAGGAGCTCTAAAAATCCTTTCTCCATTCTTGTTTTTTAAACAAAATAATCGTCAACATGGTCTAAAAGACACGTTTCTACAGAACATATATAGCACACATGCATTTTGCTCAATCTCGTGTTAATTAATGTCATTTGCTTAGAACACGAACTGCATGCACACGTTTATAGAAATATTATCTTTATTGTAATTTCAAACCTGTATTAGATGTATACTTCATGATGATTCTAGGAATTTTAGTTATTCTACAACAATACAGTATAGCGATAGTACTTTCTAAGATGTTTACCTGCTTTAGGAGCCTCATCTGGTATCTGCATCACCTTAAACTTGGTCAACTATTTAACTAAATAGATTTCAGTCTACTCCCCCCTTCCAAAATGTAACTTTTATAGTAATTTAAACCTAGTTTATAGAAAAAACACACAGAAACATCTACGAATCATATTAGTTTTCATTAAATCCATCTTGAAATATGTATTTGTAGTGCATTTTTCCATTGTAGATGTTACTCTGCATTTTTCTATAGTAGCACAAGTCTATTTAGATCCACTGATTATAGCTCAAACAACGTCCTCCAAGATTAAGGGTCACATGATTTAGTTTTCAGTAATTTCTAATTAAGCTACTACTAGTCCATTAACTCGTGCTCTCACGCGGGCTAGAACTTTAGAAGATTTAAGTACTAGGTAATGCTTAACAATCCCTTGATTTCAAATTATAACAGGTTTTGTTCTTTTCTAGATATATTGTTTTTACTATATATCTAGACAGGTATATAGCAAAAGCTATGTATTTAGAAAACTCAAAACGTCTTATAATTTTGAAATGGAGGGAGTAAATCTGACTAATAAAGAATTGCTTATATTAAATTATATGTTTTTTCTTTGTTTATTTTCTAACATAAGAGACATAGTAGATACTCTGTAGTCTATATCTAGTTATCACAAACTTATTAATTACTATTTTTTAAGGAACTAATCTATATATTTCTTATCGATATTCATATCTTTTCTTTGCATGGCACTTCTATATACTTTAAATATGTAATTACTTTGAAATCTTACCATGAATCATGGTGGCTCTTGTTGCATCAAGTATCTTATGAAGTCATGAATCTAAATTTTGTTTTTTCAAAATTTATTCTTATCAATTGCTTTGGATTTTTTTGTCCTCAAGTTACGTTAAACTCTTGTGCTTATTGTTTCTTTCATTAACTCTCCTTTTTATACTTTTTTAAATAAGTACTTTAGGTCATAGAGTATGTTCTTAAGTACTACAATAGCATAAGCCATTATTTGAAACATGCATCATATCACTTAAGATAAGTCATAGAGCATGAAGTGAGATCTCGGACAGGGTAGCAGTGTTAACCTCAAGAGAATTTTAATATTTAATGATATTTAGTTTTTACTCTAAAGTATTCTTAAAGGGCTAGAGAAATATAGCCACCAGTGGTTTCCCACACTTCTTAAGATGGTTGAATTTTTCTATCAATACAGACATGTCACACATTTTAGTTAAAATACAATATATCTAAAGTAACAATATATATAAATTATATGTTATGGTTGCTAATGTGGTTTTAAGAATTTTTATTTGATGAAACATAACATATGTATTTTGTTGCCCATGCATGTCGGCACATCGTGTATATTTACTTTAATCAATTCTTACTATATTAATATTGATAGAGGTGGGGTAATTTCGAAACATATATATGTTGTATTTGTTATCTAAATAACTTTTTTCTAATAGGAGATGTTGATTTGAGGGGATATTTAATTTTTCTAATAATGAGATGAAAAATTTACTTACGTAAATTATTAATCATATATAATAAGAAGACCACGATAATTAAAAACAAATGTAGATCTACTTTAGATCATGTTTCTTAACGATATATGTGGGCAATATAAATTAGAGTCATGAGTTAGTTTGTATTGTTTCACACGATATTAGAAGTGGATAGTTATTTAAAAAATAGAATAGATCCAACAGCTATTATTATTATCAACGGGGATTTGGTTATACCTAATTGATGGTTAGATGTTTTTAATTTTTATGATTATTTCTAGGGTCTATCTTTTGTTTTTCTATCAAGTCTTGAGAGGATTAACATGGAGGCTCTAGTGAAGACCTCTAGTTAGAATTTCTAGTATTTATCTTTTTTCTAGTGTGATATGTATTTAGTTGAAATCTAGTCTTAAGTATATAAACTCTTGATACAACCTTTTTCTGACTTCCTAAATCTATTGTTTATCTATTAACTTTTAGTTAAGTTGTTGCAATCTTTTCGCATGTTAATTAGAAATTTTAGTTTTCTTTATATGTTATTCGAAAATTGTTTTTTTATTAAAAAGAGTCTAGGTTCTAGTAGTATTGTTTTCCACATAAGTTAAAACTCGTCTTGCATGCCGAAACTAAACATGGGTGTAGTATTATTTATACATCATAGAGTGCATAAGATTAAATTAATAATATTGATATGACATAATGTTTTAGAAAAATGTATAGACTTATTTAAAATAATAACTTATGAAGTTTATTATCACGGTGTTATTTCTACGTGGTTTGTTAAGTGAACATTTTTCCATGTTTCATAAGTTGTTAAAATAAATATTTATTATAATGTATACATGTTTATTTGAAATACATAATGGAACATAGCATCATTATTATTTTATTTCACAATTATAGAAGTATGTAATTTAGAAATATATATATGTATCATACTTTATGCATATTGATTTATTTTTTGCAATAATATGTATTACTATTTATGTGTAGATTTTAGAGATTTTTTGTTTATTTTTTATAATGGCTAAGGTACGTACTAATATAATGGTAATACCTTATATTATCTTTCACAACAACATACATGGATAGGTTAAATGCAAACTTAGAATATTATTTTGCATTATCCTTCACAATGATAAAGGTGGATAATTTATAAAATCGTTAGGATAGATTTTAATTTTTTTCGTAATGGTGGATGTGGGTCATCTACATACAAAGTTAGAGGATTATTTTAAATTATATTTCATAATGACAAAAAAACTAGGTAACTTAGACGCAATGTTAGGTGTTATTTTAAATTATGTTTCATAATGGCCAAGCTATGTAATTTAGAAGCAAATTTAGGGATTTTTTTGAACTATTTTTCGTAATGGTTGATGTGGGCAATTTATATACAAATAGGGGGGTTATTTTGAACTATGTTTTGTAATGGCAGAGGTGGATAATTTAGATGCAGAATTAGGGGTTACTTTATGTATTTTTTATAATAGCAATGGTGGGTAATTTTTTAATAACTACAATAGATTCAATGGCTATTACCGTTGATGATGATTAGAGTATCAAATCAAAGGCCAGATGTTTGTGATTATTGTGAGAATTTTTATGATTTATCTTTTTTCTAACATGTCTAGTGAGAATTAATATGGTGCCTCCATTGAGGCCTGTAATTAGTAATAGTAAGATTTTGGCCACCGTGATTGAAGGTCCATCCCGTTTTAAAATGGCATTTCAGTGCATCATCGCTCAAAATACTTGCTATTTGTATTACAGGGTAAGGACAAGGAGATGACCATGAAGAGGGAAGATGCAAGGAAATGGTTAGAGGAAAATAAACTTGTTGGCCGCTGGGCAGATATAGAGTATATCGGCACTGACTATACGGGAGTGCAACCCGTGTTCGGGATTGCTGGTGTTGGTAAATCATATATTGTCAGACATGTCTACTCCAAGAAAGTGATTGATGAGAAGAAACAATTTGTAAAGTTTGGCTGGGTTGAAGTATCAAGTCCATTCAATATGAGAGACTTTTCATGGAGCTTACTGTTGGATTTGCACTCGGGATGCCTCCAACATGGTAGCTTGTTGAGAATCAGAGACCCAATTCAGGAATGTCGTGAGCTTCTAGAAAAACATGCTTGTCTCATTGTTATTGACGGTCTGCAGTCCAAGGAAGAGTGGGACTCGATAAAAGATGGCTTGGCCATTAAACATGACCACAATAAAAGCCGTATCATTGTCATTGCAAATGAAGAAAGTATCGCCACATACTGTTCAGCTACTAACTGGTGGAATGTCGAAGGCCTAGAAATTGAGCAGGCGTTTGATCTCTTCATAAAAACGGTAACTTTACTCATAAACAGCCATGCCTATACATACATTTATTAATTGTCATAGTGAATTGTCTGCATATTACAAGTGGGTTGCACCTCTGCGCATCAAGCTGACGTACGCGCTAACTAACCTCTTGCCCCTGACAAACAAAACTTCAATGTAAAGCAAGATATGCAGAAGTTTTGCTTTTCAAAACGCTCTACTTGATAGATGATGCTGGGCTTCAAGCCATGGTATAACCAAGTTCCAAGGACCCAAAACCACTCAAGAATTGTGCATAAATTCAGACAAAGCTGCAGTTTGGAAATCATCAAAAATAAGTGACGAAAATCATAAAAATATAAAAATTGAGTGAACCAAAAGAGATGAGACAAAGGGGATGAATTCAACTCGATTTCTTACTCAATGCCAACCATGAATTCATCTATATAAAAGAGGACTAGACTCCACCGTCCATTCTCCCTCTAAAGATGAAAGACTAAAGCAAGAGGATCTACTCTCTCTACTTCCAATCTCCCTAAGCAATAAGCACTTGGCTAGCTAAGCAAAAGTGACTCGGGGTTCCAAGAGGTCTAGTCCTCATTAGCCATCTACCTTATTTATTGGCGTTTGGATATGTCCCAAAGTTCCCCTAAGCTAATACTAAACCTACTAACCCACTAAGATTTGGTCCATACACATTGGCACATATCAACCATGTGTTCTTACAGGAAAGCGGCTGCCTTAAATCTAGCGAGGATATTCCCTCTTGGGGATGTCCCTGTCCCTCTTCTCCTATAACCAAACAACACGCAGAGGACTGTCCCATCCCATCTCGCCCCGTCCTCACAACCAAATGGACCCCAAGATTGATGGTAGAGCTTAGCTTTGGTAGCAGTACTAACCCCCAGATGATATTCATGTTTCGGCCTAAAACATGTACCATGTTACTTAAGATCAGGGGTTGAAGTTGAAGAGAGGTCTAGCATGGGGTAGCATTGCTAACTTTAAGTGGGTATTAATGTTTAGTCCTAATAATAACTATTTACTCCAAAGGATTCTCAATGGTGAGGAAGATATAACTACATTTGGTTTGCACTAACCTCTCCACTTCTCAAGGTGTTAGAATTTTCTTATCAAAGAATTAATTGTACTATAATGTTTATAATATAAATATACATAGGTCAAATATTTTAGTTAAAATGTATAATAATATAATATATCATATCTAAAGTAACAGCTTATATAAATTATATATCATGGGTAATAATTTTTTTTAATAAGTTCTTAGTATCATTAGTATATTAATCATTAAGAAAATATTTTTAATGATTCCTGAAACTTAACATATATATTTATCAATCATGAAGTACTTATTCAAAAATATTATATAATGATCATCGCGGAACATGGGAGTAATCCATAATAACAGAGTGGGTAATTTGGATACAAAGTTAAGGGGTTACCTTGAATTATCTTTCATAATGGTAAGGATGGGTAATTTAAATAAAAAATTAGGGGTTTACTGTATGTATTTTTCAAAATGACAGAGGTGGGTAGTTTTCTATGAAACATAATAGATGTAACGGCTATTATTGACGATAACGATTATAGTCTACAAAATTGTAGGACATATTTTTTATTATTGTGAAAATATTTAGGATTTATCTTTTTTTTTCTAGCGTGCCTTGCAAGAATTACCGTAAATTATGTGTTGGAGCCTCTAAATAGTAATAATAAGATAAGATCTCACACGGACTGATTGATTGGTTAGTTAATTTCCAATCAATAACTAGTCAAGGACCATCACTTTTGTATGTATTATTATACTATTGTGCGCTTTCATTTACTGAAATTGGAACAACCGGAAAAAGATGATTAAATTTGTTTTAAGCATCTTATCTTACTATTACTAATTAGAGGCCCCAACGGAGGCACTACTACGTTAATTCTCATTAGATGCGCCCACAAAAAAGATAAATCCTAGAAATTCTCACAATAATCATAAACATCTGACCTTTGATTTGGTAGACTCTAATCATCATCACCGATATTAGCCATTGGATCTATTATAATTTATTAAAAAAATTACCCACCACTGCCATTATGAAAAATACATAAAGTAACCTCGTAAATTTACATGTAAATTACCCACCTCTATTATTACAAAAGATAATTCAAAATAACCACCTATATTTATATATAAATTACCCACATCTGCCATTAGGGGAAAATAATTCAAATAACCCCTAACTTTGTATCTAAATTACCCGCATCTACCATTATGAAACATAATTTAAAATACCTCTAATGATTTTATAAATTATCCACCTTTAACATGATGAAAGATAATGCAAAGTAATATCCTAAGTTTACATTATTTAACCTATCCAAATATGTCATTGTGAAAGATAATATAAGGTATTACCTTGATATTTGTATGTACCTTAGCCATTATAAAAAATAAACAAAAAATCTCTAAAATTTACCCATAAATAATAATATATTAGTACAAAAAACTAAATCAATACCATAAAGTACTCTACATATCTAAATTAATTACATACTTCTAGAATCATGAAATAAAATAACTATAATGCTATGTTCCACCATATATCAAATAAACATGTATATATTAGGATAAATATTTATTTTAACAACTTATGAAACATTGAAAATTGTTCATTTAACAACTCAAGTAGCGGTAGCACTTTATATTAATGCTCTATGATAACAAAATTTAAAAGTTCTTATTTTAAATAAGTTTATAAATTTTTACTATATTACTATTTCATATCAGTATTATTAATTTCATTTTATGCACTCTAGGATATATAAATAATATTGCACACATGTAATCCTATGATATACCAAATTCAACATGTTTAGTGTTACGATGCAAGCCGAGTTTCAACTTATGTGGAAAAGAATACTACTAGGATATAGATCCCTTTTAATAAAAAATAATTTTTTAATAAAAGATAAATAATACTACAATATCTAATTAACATGTGCAAAATTGCAACAACTTGATTAAAAGTTAAAAGATAAACTATAGATTTAAGACTAGGTTTCAACTAAGTACATATCACACTAGAAAAAATACTAGAAATTCTAACTAGGTGTCTCCACTAGAGCCTGCATGTTAATCCTCACTAGACTTAACATCAATTGGGTATAACCTAATCACCATTGGTAATGATAATAGTTATTGAATCTATTTTATTTTCCAAATAATTATCCATTTATGCTATTGTGTAAAACAATATAAACTAACCATTGATTCTAATTAATATTACCCACATGTGTCATAAAGAAATATGATCTAAAGTAGTCCTAAATTTGCATTGAAGTACCAACATCCTCTTATTATGATCGATAATTTACATAACTCAATTTTCATTTCATTATTAGAAAAATTAAATACCCCCTCAATTTTTCATCTATATTATCAACATCTCCTATTACAAAAAAGTCTAGATAACGAATAGAACGTATATATGTTTCTACATTACCCCACCTCTATCAATATTAATATAGTAAGATTTAATTAAAGTAATTATATGTATAGCGCTAACATGCATGAGAAATAAAATACATATGTTATATTTCATCATGTAAGAAATATTTCTCAATAACTTATATACTAATGATGCTAACAATTTTATAAAGCCATATTAGTAACCATAACATATAACTTATATAGATTGTTATTTTAGATATATTTATGTATTTTAACTAAAATATTTGATATGTCTATATTGATAGTATAACCATAACTGCAAATATAATTCCTTAATAGTAAAATTTAATTGAGAAGTCTGGGAGACCACTGGTGGCTATATTTTTCTAGGCCTTTAAGAATACTTTAGAGTAAAAAAGGCAATCAATATAAGGTTTAATAAGTATTAAAATTCTCTTGTGTTAGCACTGGTACCCCGGTCCGGGATCTCACTTCAAGCTCTATGACTTATCTTAAGCGATAGGTGCACGTTTCAAATAATGGCTTGTGTTATTGTAGAACTTAAGAACATACTCTATGACCTAATTTTTTTTTTGAAAAGTGCAAAAAGCAGAGTTAATGAAATATATAATAAATACAAGAGTTTCAACTTAACTTGAGGAGAGAAAAAATTTATAGTAGTCGATAAGAATAAAATTTGAAAAATCAAAATTTAAATTCATGACTTCATAAGATATATGATGCAACAAGAGCCACCATTATTAATAGTAAGGTTTCAAAGTAATTGCATATTTAAAATATATAGAACAGCCATGCAAAAAAAAAATATGAATATAGATGAAAAATATATAAATTAGTTCTTTAAAAATAGTAATTAATAAGTTTATGATAACTAGATATAGACTATAGAGTATCTATTATGTCTACTATGTTAGAAAATAAATATACAATTTAGTATAAGTAATCCTTTATTAGTCAAATCGATGTACTCTCCCATTCCAAATTATAAGATGTTTTGAGTTTCTAAATGCATAACTTTTACTATACACGTAGATGTACGATCTAGATACATTGTAAAAATAATATATCTAGAAAAGCCAAAAATATCTTATAATTTGCAATGAAGAGATTATTAAACATTACATAATACTTATTTCTCCTAAATTGTAGCCCGTGCGAGAGCACGGGTTGATAGACTGTTTATATTAACACGTGTCCTTAAATTCATCTGACGACAGGTCGAAGCTAAATGGAATCGGCCCGCCGAAGGACGCCGTGAGCTGAGCCCCGATGATACTGAGAGAATAAAATCTTTCCTACACAAGTGCGGTGGACTTCCCAAAGTGATAGTTGCTGTGGGTGACTTCATTGGCGACGGACGGGGACTAAGCAACTTGGATAACTTTATGCAGCAGTTGGAGACTAACCAAGCATTTGGCAGTTTAAGAAATCTGTTTGCCTGGGTGAATTCCTACTTCAATACCTGCCCAGATTCGCTGAAGCCATGTATCTTCTATCTATCAATATTCCCTGTGAACCATAAGATTCGGCGGAGGCGTTTGGTGCGGCGGTGGATGGCTGAGGGCTATTCCGCGGCCACCAAAGAAAGTACCGCGGAGGAGAAAGGGGAGAAATCCTTTGTCGACCTCTGCGAGCTATCCATGATCCAGTTGCCAGGATCGACAAGTCTGTCCTACTCGATGAGGATGCCCTCGTGTAAAGTTAACGGTTTCTTCCGGGAATACATCAAATCGCAGTCAATGGAAGAGAACCTAGTATTTGCATTAGAGGGACACTGCAGTGTGAACTTGCAACGCACTGGACGTCATCTCACCATAGAGAATACTTGGGACAGAGACATTAGTGTGTACGAGAGCATTGACTTCTCACGGCTTCGGTCACTGACAGTTTTTGGTAAGTGGGAGTCATTCTTCATCTCTGACAAGATGAGGATAGTCCGGGTGCTGGACCTGGAGGATGCATCGTCAGTAACAGATGCTGACCTCGAACAGATGGTGAAGCTGCTGCCTCGCCTCAAGTTTCTCTCCCTTAGAGGATGCAAAGAGATCACCCGTCTTCCGGATTCCTTTGGTCGCCGGATGAGGCAGCTCCGGACTCTGGATATCAGACACACTTGCATTGTCAAGCTTCCACCAAGCATAACCAAGCTAAAGAAACTGCAGCACATTCGTGCTGGCACTACTGTACAACTGGATAACACCAGCACTGTTGGAAGCCCACTACCACCACCACCATCAGCAGCAGAAGGATCAGTGTCATCGGCATCGAGCAGGCCTCGAGCTTCTACTCTGGTTTGCCGGATCCGGTTGCCAGAGTTTTGCGCAGGCCGTGGCCAGCGGATTTTTTCGGGCTCTTGTAATGGTGGCGTTGAGGCGCCTCGAGGGATTGGGGAAATGATGGCCTTACATAATATCAGTGTCATCGACGTTAGTGTTGCAAGCGGGCGGGCAATCCTGGAAGAGCTCAAGAACCTTACCCAATTGCGCAAGCTTGGAGTCTCTGGCATCAAGCTGGACAACCACAAGGAGTTGTGTTCTGTCATTTCAGGTCACCCCCATTTGAAATCCTTGTCAATGTGGCTCGACAAGAATCAGGCTGGCTGTTTGGATGGCATTTCCCCTCCCCCGGAGGAACTACAGAGCCTTAAGCTGTATGGGTATTTAGGCAAGCTGCCAGAATGGATTAAGCAGCTGTCGAATCTCACAAAATTGAAATTGCAGATGGACAAGATAACGCAATTTGATGTTAATATCCTCAAGTTTTTACCAAGCCTAGAGACTTTATGTCTTTATCCCAAGGACTTTGAATATGGAGAGCTCCGGTTCAGAGGACGTGGATGCTTCTGCCGACTCCTGGTCCTCGAGGTTGGTTGCAACTCCAGATTAGAGTCTGTCATATTTGAGTCCGGTGTAATGCCTTGGCTTGAGGTCCTCAAAATCCCCTGCTATCATGTGTCATCCTTGGAGTTTTCTGGGCTAAATGAGCTAGGCGATCTCAGGGAAGTCTCACTTAGTGGTTCCTTTGATGACCAAGTGAAGCAACACTTGCAGAGCAAACTTAAACAGCACCCCAAGGAAGTGAAGCCTGTTTTGAAGGTGAACAAGGTTCGTTCTAATGGCCACTGAGCGCCTGAGCCCGTGATGTCCATCGCCTCTACCACCCGTTCGCGTTTCCACGACTACATGTCAGTAGCTCTTCATTTTCTTCTCTCTTCTACCCTGTGTCTCTGTCCAGTCTTCTCTCAATCCAACATATATAGATACATGCCCTATGCTTTTCATCCCAAAAAATTCAGCATATGCATCTATGAATGCCTATCGCCAGGACAACTAGATCGTATATATACCCACATGGTTGCGTCTAGTTCAGTTCTCTGATGATGTAGTCATTACTAGTAATAAGTATCAGCCCATGCATCCTGTTTAATTTGTAGATAAAATAGAAAACTTTCATTGTGTATCTTCGTCACTATGCATGATAGTTCTATCCCCAACTTGTAATTTAGTTCTGTATCATCTGTCGCCCAGAAAGGCATGTATTTATAGCATTGTTGTCACTTAGCTAAACATTGCCAATAAAAGATGTACCATGTACATTACGAGCTCTTTTACAATGGTTGAAAAGGTACCATGGTACTTCTAAGTACTTTTATTTTTCCTATTTATTGGGCATTTAATAGAGAGAGATTATTTATGAAGTTTGAATTTCATTCTCGAGGGCATATTGGTAACTGTATGTCTGGTCTCTACACACCACATGATTTCCCTACGCGGGACGTCGTTTTTTTTTTCCCCTATCTCGAACCGCCGTTGTCGACTGCCGCACGCACCGCCACGCCCGCCATTGCCCTCGCCGTCGCTGGGTCGTCCAGGACTCTATAGGTCGCCCAGCACTGTTGCCGAGAGTGTCCGGCGACGGCGACGAGCGTCCCGCTTCCACTTCCCGGAGAACCCCCACTGATAAAACATGATATGGTAGCGTTGTCGTTCAGCTGCTCGTTATCACAGCTGCAGCGACAGTGGCGCCGAGCAGGCCACCCTGAGCTTCCGCCTTTGTCGTTGGCTTGCTGGGTGCTGGACCTGAGCATCGGCGTTGCCTCTATCACACTTCGGCGAACCAAAAGCAAGCTCTGGAGCTCGACGTTGACCACAGGAAGGTGTTGCGGGTGAGAGAGAAAAGGTTGAGAAGCTGGGGCCAGGGGTGCCATGGCTTCTGTGTTCTCACCATCACATTTCCGTTCAATGGAGGAATAGTTCTGACCACAGGAAGCTCACGATCAGCTGCGCGTTTGAGCCAAGGATCTGGGATTCGACCGAGACAGTCCGAATTTCGGCGAAATTCGTCCATTTCGGTTAGGTCCGAAACGAATTTTGTGCTTCAAATCTCGAAATTTCACCGAATTGAGTCCGAAATTGGACCGAAATTTCCCGAAATTCGTCCATTTCGGTTGGGACCGAAATTTTTTCCAAAATGAATCCCAGAACCTTGGTTTGAGCTAACAAGCAGGGTTGCAAAACACGGGCAATGAATCACTATTTTACCCTTTACCAAATTTAATTGGTAAATAAAAATTGGAATTTGGTCCGACCTATTTTGATAGTGGTCCCACCGATTTAAGTACCTTCTCCATTTTATTGGTACTTGTGAGTACTTTCACTTTGTTACCTTCTACTTTTGCACCATTCGATTTCTCTACATGGATGATCCATATTTTTCCCAACCATTATAAAATTTCTCGCATTATTATTACAAAAAATGATTTGCAGTCCTTTTTTCTTGGATGCTGATGGAAAAGCTAACCAATTCAACAAATGGAGACAAAGAGCGAGTATTAGCCGACCCTCTGAAAATCGATTTCTAGGGGCGATCACTAAGATAAATGACCGCCCTGCGATGGGCATTTTTTGAGTCATGCTGTTTTGGGTACTGCCCCTAGAAAACGAGTATTTCTAGATGTGCTACTCCGTACAAACCATCTTAAAAACAATTTTTGAAGGTGATCCATGAGGAGGACTGCCTCTGCAAATATTTGATGCACAAATAATTACATTCAAAACATTTTCATATGAAGTGAAGGAGGAACAAAACTAGCATCAAAATTATAGAGGTCGACGACACTAAAACGTTATAGTTTAGAACCTATTCGATTGAGATCGTTTAACAACCCAAAATTTGTTACAAGCTCTTAGATTTTTATTTTTTTTAAATGTCGTGTGGTGGCAAGTACGGGTGACCGTGAGGATTGATCATACTGGGCAAAATTGGATATATATTTTCATGTTTACTGGATTTGCATATTATTGACGCTGAATTAGGTCAAGCACCAGCAAGGGTTAGCACGTCCGAGGTCACACACGAACTAGATTGTAGCAAGAAGGTAGTAAATTAAATCCATGAAACCTAAAAACAAGTCGGTTAAGCCAATTCAATGCCCGTTCTTCGCTTGGAAGACTCCCGAACACCTCGCGGAAGACCTGTCGGGGAGGGACACAACGAGGTTGTTCTGGGGTCAGTAAGGGCACTTAGCACTACCGGAACCATGAATTGCCCTGTGGGTGACAAAAAATTTTGTGCGTTTTTTCATACACACTCGGAAACTAGTCATTAATGTGTCGGTTTCAAAAATTCTGATAGAAAAATACGAAAACTCACACGGAAATTCAATGATTTTTCTGTGTGTGACAATACACACAAGAAAATTTCGATTGCCCTGTTGGTTTTGTTGGAACACAGAAAAATAGTAATTATTCTGTCGGTTCAAAAATTACGCACAGAAAAAAATTAATAGCTTGATTGATTTCGCGTTGGCACTCTAGCTTTTAGCATTCACGCCTTCCTGTGAATAGCAAACATATTGAAAACTAAAAAGGAAAAAAAATCCCTAAATCTACCCCCGGCCCCACTGGAGCATCCTGCAGGCCACCTCTCCATTCTCCCCCAGTTCGCCGCCTGAACCAGCCCCGCATCCAACCCTCAAGGCGCGTCAGCCGCGGCCTTCCCCAGGTCCACCGGACCCCTTCCCATGGCCGCTGCCTGCCCTAGGATACCTTCACCCCCGCCTCTCTCCCACAGCGCCAGCGTGGTCTCCCAGGCTTCTGGGTACGGCTTGTCCCGACGCTGCTCGTCGTTGAACCGCCTGTCACGGGTTTGAAACCGCGGCAAGCATAGTTGTTCGTCGGATGTCGGAAGTGTGGGTCACGCTCCGGTGGCTCGGGCACTCGAACACAAGAGAGACACATCGGTTTATTCTGGTTCGGGTTATCGAGGCCCTATGTCTAACAAGAGGAGTTCTTCGTGTTCGGGAGCACCCAAATCGGGGAGTTACAACGAAGGAGAATGAGAGTTTGGTAGGAGATCACTCAGTGCTATCCTACGGCTCGTCGTCAGTGAGGTTTCTTACCCGGAGAGCAAGGGATCGGCCTTCTCTCACTGGGTTGCCGAGGGGAGGAACACTTTGTTGTTCCTCTCAAGATGTCTAAGCGGTCGACGTAACTCTTCTTCTCCCGCCCCCTCTCTAAAGAGCCGACATTCCTTTATATTGCGACAGAGGTCGGGTACAAGGCGATTTGGGGACTTTAGTTTACGGTCTTTGTGCGCGGGGGTCCAGTGCTGCGGCGTGGATGGACCTTAGCTTTTTCGTGGAGTCTGGGGAGCTGCGGGTGCCTCCTGATGTCGCTATCGAGCCTCAAGATATATGCTCATCCACTCGGCAGCCTACGGATGCAAGAGATATGGTCTCATCATGCCCATTCATGCAAGGCTGTGGCACGTGTTGTGACACATGTGAGAAGACACGTCTCGCGGCATGGTGCTGAGACGATCGACACGCCGTTACAATGGGACAAAGATCGGTGAAAAAGAAACGACCGAAGCTACTCTACTCCAATATTGGAAGCTTCAAGATAGCCAGATCGCTAGTAGAGGCGTGCACCGTTTGGGATTTGCTACTACCTACTGCTAGTACGTAGGGCGGTCAGATCAGGCATTCAGCTGGTTCCTGCTGCTCTCCGGTCTTCCGGTGCTGGCTGTACGCAGGCCAACACGTACGTATGTATACGCCCAACACTTGTCGCCGTCCCGCCATGGGCTGCCAGCTGCCGTAAAACGCCATGCTCTGGAGACATATGTTTTCTTTTTGCTAATCACGTTAAAAGAAATTAAGCACAGACGCTCAGGGCTTTGCGGATTTATTTGGATGGACCTGGCTATTTGGGCCGAGTACATGTACGATGTACCTGGCCTGTTTGATGATTCAAACAAGTGGGCTGCCTGCTGTTTGAGTGTCTAAGCAGCCGGCCCCGTACGTGCGTAGAGATCCGCGGGTGGCTTTGGTAACTCCTTTCAATTGCGTCTTACTGCCTCTCTTCTTTTTTGTGTAAGTCCAACTTTATTAAATTCAACTAGATTTATAGAATCCCCTAGAAAAGCTAGATTCATGGAAAATATAAGCACCATAATATTAGTAATCTCTTGTATACATTTAGTCAAAATTGAATACGCTTTGCCTCCTAGATAAGTGGGAACGACACGAGGTAAAAAGGGAAGACGGAGGAGTAGGCCCATAGCTTAAGTTAGGGTCTATTTGAATAAGTTGTGGCTAGTTACTAGTTACGTTAAAAATTAGTTTGAATTAGCTGAGGTTAATTAACTAGTTAGCTCACATGTTAATCCTTTCGTTTATTAGATGCGCTAGGGCTAATTTGAGCTAATTTTTTTGGTAACTAGGAATTAACTCTTGTATCCAAATTAATGGACCCTTTAATACAACTAGCACCCTGCACACATAGTTCGACCAAGACTAGCTTTCCCCTTTCTCTTTGTTCGTAGCGATTGACGCCCATGCATGGTGCAAATGCAGCTCCAATTAACACCAATAAGTTTCGTTCATTCATACCTTGGGCGAAATTGATTTTGTACTCCTAAAAGGGCTGCATACGCATTTATTTATTTATTAATTTATTTGCATCGTGTTCGGTTCGGTTTAGGGTGATCTTAATTATGTGGAATCACTCGATGCTGCACAAGGTCGTCCAGCATGCAGTTCGGACTTCGGCGATCTCTACTCAACGTGTTTCTGATCGAGTGCATATATACAGGATAGGGTTATAGCGTAAAAAAGAGTGGA